GCGCCTAAAGTAAAATAGCTAGCAAAAAAAGTCATGAGGCAAAGTTGATCAGAATGTAATTATCTGCAAGTTTTGTGGAGGTCATTTTGTCGAAAAAAAATAAATAAGAAAAAGGCCAATATTGCCGAACGCACAAGGCTTTGGAGTGTGATTTTTTGGCTCATTACTCAGGACACAGTCCCCAATCAGTCCTGGAAAAATCAGCCTGCCCTCGCAAAATTTTTTGCGGCCCAGGTATAAACTTCTTGGGCTAAATGGTTTTACCTAATAATTCAATCGAATAATTATTTATAATCGGCGTCTAGTTTCATATAGTTTTTTATCTCCCATAATGACTGCACACTTTCATAAAAGTTTAAACTAAAGGCAAAGTTTACTTCACTTGTAAAACTTGCTCACAAAACCGAAAAACGAATTATTTACATTTACGGGTTGTTTGCTTGGCAAAATATAATGGAAGAATGATTGTTGAATTCCTGGAGATCTGAGGGTTTCATTATTATGTGCCTACTCAAAAACTGTTTATATTTTGGTTTCTGAGAATAAAAATCACTACCACTTATAACAATAACACTTACTTAGACATAAGTACCCGAGTAGGTTTTTTTTTTCTATAAGACGACGAATAATTTAGGTAGAAAAAGGTACTAACATGAAATGAAATTAACTTATGGTTCCTACACAAAAATAAATGGTCGGTTTTGAATTATTTCAAATTTTAAGAACATATTCGGAACATGTTAAAAAAGATTCACTTCTGTTTATTTTTTTTAACTTAGAGTGTATTACACCGGCAATAAATTCGGTATTCAGCTGACAATATTGCTACCTGGACAATACCAACAACATGGTATTTCAGCGACCATTTTTTGACATTGTCGAACTGATATTTTTATTCATATTTTTGCATTCTATTTATTTTCAAAATCTTACGTGAAATAGTCATAACGAATACCACTCAAGAAAAAAATATGTAGGCAAAATTGTTCTCAACGTCTTATTCAAGTTTGTTGCTTCTCGGCAATTTCGCTCATGACATTTTTGATAAAAATGTCATTCGCGAAATTGCCAAGCAACAAATTTTCATACCTTTCGGAAATTTTGCCGACAAAATGTCTTCTCTTGTGTCCATTTATTTACACAACATATATTTTTTTCGATAATCAATGATAATGGCGAAAGGCTCATACATCTCTGTGAGACCCACAATCTTAGAATAAATAATGGATTTTTCAAACACAAAGATATTCACCGCTACACATGGATACAGAATACCCGTAACCTGAAAATTATTATTGACTATGTGATAAGCAAACAAAAAACAAACATAGAGATAAACGACGTAAGAGTCCTAAGAGGAATAACTTGCGGGTCAGATAATTTTTTAGTAAGAGCCAAAATAAAGTTGCAATTTAGGAGAACGAACAAGAACCCAGAGGTACAAAACACCAATGCCATACTAGCGGACACAGTGGATACAACAAATTATAATTTTGACAGTTTTAGAGATGACAGCACTGTATTTCTATATCAGAGGCGACTCGATAGCAAACTATTGAACCCTGAAGAATGTACATACCTTCAATAAACTCTATGAGAATATTATAAGGAGTCTAATAGAAGCCACCCAAGAAGCAATAGGAACGAAAGAAAAAAATACCAACAAGAAATACTGGTTGAACGAGGAGATAGAGCTATTAGTCCAACAGAAGAAGCAAAAATATCTGAAATGGCTAACAACAAAAAGTGAACAAGACCTTGAAGTTTATAAAGGCACAAAAAGACAACTAAGAACGTGCATCACTATAGCTAAAAACGGGTCATGGGATAAGAAATGTGAAGAAATTAACACCTACATAGGAGGGAGGAAATGCTCAGAGGTATGGAGATTTATATCAAATGTCAAAAACCCAGGAAAAGACAGAGCTAATAATATCCAGATTATTAAACCAGAGCAATGGGTAGAACATTACAAGGGTCTATTACAAGAAAATAGACCGGAATATATATTAGATTCTCCAAGACATATTGAAGTATATGGAGAAGTAGTTGAGACATCTAAAGAAACAGTAAAAAAGACTGTTAAGAATCTTAAGTCAGGTAAAGCTAGCGGCCCAGAAGGGATATACTCAGAAATGCTGAAATGGGGAACTGAGAAGCTCTTTAAAGGTCTCACATGTATTATCAATAAATGCCTAAATGGACATCCTGTTCCACAAGACTGGAAAACGGCTTTTATATCACCCATTCACAAAAAAGGAAATAAGCTGGATTCCAATAACTATCGGGGCATATCAGTCACAAGCACACTAAGCAGACTATACGGTAGAATCCTGCGTGATCTCATTGAAGAAGATTATAAAGAGCAAGAAGAAGAAGAGCAGTGCGGCTTTAGAGCAGGGAGATCAGGTACGGACAACGTATTTTGCCTAAAACAAGTCATAGAAAAAAGATCTGCTAGATATTTGGAAACCCACCTCACATTTGTTGACCTACAAACAGCATACGATACAGTCCCAGTATCCAGACTATGGAAAGTATTAGAACACACGAGCATCAATCACACCTACATAACGGCACTTAAAGAACTATATAAAGACTCAAAATCAATAATTAAGATAGATAAAAAACTCACAGACACATTTATAGTAAATAAAGGACTACGTCAAGGATGTTGTTTCTCTCCTACGCTTTTTAAAATATACGTAGCAGTAGCACTGAAAAATTGGAAGAGGAAGATCCATGGAATGGGTATAGAGATAAATGATAGGTGCCTGTTTACTCTTCAGTTTGCAGATGATCAGAGAGAGGCGCGGGCCTATTGCATTAAACTACGTTGCAACTTTTCACTTTGCACTTTGCCTTATTTGAAAAGTGAAAAAGAAATGCGTTGCACCTAAAAATTGATTTGTGCAATTTTTACTTTGCACTTTGCGAACTAATTTATGAACATAAGGCATTTGTCAGTGTAACAGTGACGCAATCGTGACGGAATCTTTCCGTTTTTATGTCTTGAATTGTGCTCTTGTATGAGTAAAATAGCCGAAAGTAAAGAATATTATATTATGTTTAGAGATGGCCCTGAGAATATTCTCCAAAGAACTTCTATTGAGAACAGAAAATTTACCGAGAATATTCTTTGGCCTTAAATTCTCGAAAATTTATGATTTTTTTAGGATCAAGTATTTATGAGAATATACGGTAGTTTTTGAGAATTTATGGGAAGTTACCTGTGATTTTTAAATTTATCTAGGTTCGTAGTGAAGTTGGGTTGAAATGAAAAACGGAAAACTAATGCTGGGTTCGGTAATTGCATCTGCGGGCAAAAAGTGCAAAATTTTGACGGACATCACGTAATCACATCTTTTTTCACGTGTTAAATCACGTGACATCTGTCAAATTTGGCTCGCACCTTCGTTAGGCAAGGTGCACATTGAGACACATGCGACGTAACCCACGCAAGGCAGCACACGCCACTTTTTTGTGTGTGTTTGTATCATGTACAGGGTAATCTATTATAAATGTCACCCCCTGCTAAATTTTTCATTTGACGTTTTTGACAAAAGTGTCAAATACAAAAGTTTTGAGAAATTGTCAAAAGTTTTTAACTAAGTTAATTTCAGGCATACAGGGTGTGTCAAAAAAGTGCAGCAGCATAAAGTTACAATTTCTTAAAGGGAACACCCTGTATATTGTACGCTTATTTGTAAGCTCCCTTTAACCTTATTTCAACGATATACGATTCGATATGTTTATCTCTTGGTTTATCTTTAATAGTTATAGGGAAAAACGCGAAAATCCCTTCCTAGGTCTCACATTTTTTTTTTTTTTAAATAATAATCTTAACTTTAGACATCTGGGTTGGGACTCTGTAACGGATAGAGATATTTTCTTTATCTCTATTGACGTCTCCTCTCTATTGATTTCGGCACGATAGAAGAAGACAGCAAGTGCCATAGCGATAGGGATAACGATCTCTATCCGTTACAGAGTTCCAGCCCTGGAGTTATTATAATATTTCACCTCGTATATTAGTAAATAACATTTGAACAATAAATTGTTTATAAAAAAAATCTCTAAAGGTTTTTTTTTTCAATGTGAAACCTTGAAAGGGATTTTCATGTTTTTCCCTATAACTATTGAAGATAGACATATCAAATCATATATCGTTGAAATCAGGTTAAAAGGGATTAGCAAATAGGTGCATAATATACAGGGCGTTCCATTTAAAAAAATATATCTTCACGATGCTGCACTTTTTTGACACACCCTGTATGTCTGAAATTGACTTTGGTAAAATCTTTCGACAATTTCTTGAAACTTTTGTATTTGACACTTTTGACAAAAATGTCAAATGAAAATGTTAGAAGGGGGTGACATTTATAATAGATCACCCTGTAGCGAGCATTGCACTTCCGCATAATAAAACGCAGCACAAGGAAAACCACGAATACTCAGTGTTTGAGACACAGATTCGTTTGCGTAGTGCGTGCTTGTCAAATAGGAACGATGCAGGACGAACTGATTCAATTTGCGTTAGCCGTCCCATCCCACGAGTTTTGTGCATTATGTTGTTTGTGCTGCCCTGCATGGGTTGTGTCGCATGTATCTCCAATGTGCGCTTTGCCTAGGCAAAGCGCAGCACGAACGGCACAGTACACACAATTCGTGGGCTGGGCCGGCTAACGCAAATTAAATCAGTGTCCAGCAAACTTGCGTGTTTAACATAGTGTTTATTACAGTACTGACCACTTTGTGTAGCGTTCTGCAAACAATTGCTATATCTACTCCGTGCATGGTTGACACACCATGCATTTGAGCTCCGTTTCCCATCCAATGGAGCGCCAGAAGCCATTGCTATTTTGCAATCAGAGCATGATTTCTTATGTTGTGAGACAATGAGGCACCTATATTAATAAGCACATATTCCACTTGTATTTTGTAAGGCGAAACGCTTCTTTGAAAGAAAAATCATTCCCTTAATCAAAATTTACTCTTACTTTATAAACTTTTCTTCTCCGTAATCTTTCTTCGTCGCTATTTTCGTCACTTGAAAAAATTATTCTTATGACAATTTTTATGATAAGACAAATTTCTCCTTTCAAAATATTTGACTTTTCAATAATTTTTGACAAAAAATTGTTGGTGCAATGCTTATCAAATATTTTTTGAAAAGTTCATCGCTTCGCCACTTTTCTTTTATCACTTTTCACTTTGCCTAATGAACTTTGCAAATAGCAATGGTGCAACAGAAAACTATATGAAAAGTGCAAAGTGTAAAGTGAAAAGTTGCAAAGTAGTTTGGTGCAATCGCCTCCACAGGTCATAGCTGATAGAAAAGTATCAAGAATGGGGCCTGAGAGTTAATATAAATAAAACAAAATATCTATGTGTAGGTAACCAGAACGGAAACATGGAAGTGGATGATGATCAGGAAATTCTGCAATGTCAAGAATATGAATATCTAGGTATCACGTTCGACAACACCGGAACAGACGTGAAAGAAATAGAAAAGCGAATAGTTAAAGCTAAAAAAGTAATAGGATGCCTAAATGGAATATTATGGAGCAAGGAAATTACAAAGAAGAGAAAATTTAATATATACGAGACAATGATAAAGAGCAGCCTTCTATATGGAGCCGAGACTTGGAGAATTACAGACAGACAAAAGAAAAAAGTGGAAGCAGTTGAAATGGATGCTATTAGAAGATCCATGCGAATCTTACGAAGAGACAGAATAAGGAACGACAATATAAAACAACAAATGGGTCTAGAAGGTACGATAGTCCAGGACATTGAAAAGAAACAACTTACCTGGTACGGACACGTAGATGACAGGTGGCCCAGAAAAATGCTGCATTGGCAACCAAAAGGTGGAAGAAAACGAGGAAGACCAAAACTGGAATGGCAGAAGACCATACAAAAGTCCATGAGTGAAAGAAATCTCTCATCAGAGGATTGCGCCGATAGAAGAGGATGGAAATTAGGTGTCGGACAACGAAGAAAGACGTTCTAAAATGACATGTATATATATATATATATATATATTTTTTTTTCGATGCTACCGAATAACTAGTTTAGTCATAATTTACTGTAGAAAATGCCCGAAATTCACGCCCTTTTTGTGATGTAAGATGCCCCTACTGACGAATTAAAACTTTGAAGTAGTCTCACCTATCTTTGAGTTCGCTGACGTAACATTGCCGAAAAAGTCCACCAGCTCTTGCGCCAATAATTTCAAATAGACACTCGCAAATATTTTTTGAAAAAATTTAAAGATTCGGCTTTTTTTTTAAAACTAACAAAATATAATTTTATGCCAATGGCTCATATTCTATTCTAAAAATGTAGGTACTTACGCAAATTGTCTTACAAGCGTAAAAGGAATGTATTAACCTATTAATAAGTTCCGCACAAAATCACTGTTTTGCTGTCAGTTACCTTTTAGTATAAAAGAGATAATTTAAAATTAAATCTGTGAAATGCAATTAATTATTAGTGGTTAATCAAATAAAAAATAAACACTGGACGATATTTAAGAAAGTGAATAATCATATCGGTGGTTATATTAAAAAACGTAAATAATAAACAATATGTTTTATTATTAGAATTTAGATAGGGAATGTCTTTGAGTTGCTTTGAGCCAAGCAAAACAAAAAAATATTTTGTTTGGGTTAGTGCCAAAATTTTACATTTTTGGAAAATTTAGCTCAAAATCAATTAAACGGCATTAAGGTACCTAGGTAATTAAAAATTAATATAAATTAATTAATCTAAGCTGTTCACAAATGGAAGTAGGTTCTTTTTTAAAAATAACCTTAAAGAAAGCAGAACTAAAAAATACTTGTTTGGGCTAGTGCCAAAGTTTTACGTTTGTTTACAAGCTTTTTAAATTAGATTTAATTAAAAATATCTATCGAAACAGTGCGTCAAAGTGGAACTTTTTGCATAGAAGTCCTATATTCTATATTTTAGTAACCCTTAATCAACACACAAAAATTGAACCAAAAATAATGACTGATAAAAATAAAGTATAATATAAGTGAAGTACAATAAAGCAAATAGAACTTCATAAATGTGAGCAAATTATGTATCCTAGAAAATGCATTATTATAGACGTCAAGACAAATAACAGAAATCAAATTTACCTTTCAAATATAAGCCAAAAAAAAAACACACTAAAAAAACGACACTTTCTAGATTTGGTATGACCGAGGCTTTAAAAAAACCGAAAATTCCTAGAAACTGATTTCAAAAAACTAAGTGTGTAAACCATTCCAATTCCGACACCGTCTTATTAAAGAAATAATTCTCGTTTAGTCATGTACTTCGACGGGGTACCTACTACTTTTAAATTTGTTTTGGTATCGGTCGCGATGGTAATTTACGAACTGTTATTACAAGATCGCGGTCCGCGCGTTTTGTAATCCCGCCAAAACAAAAGCGAAGCCAGGATCGCCGGCCGTGCTGTAAAGAACCCCGCGAAGGTGGTACTTCTAAAGGTACTTGCGTATGACACTTGCACTCGCGCGTCCTCGTTAGGAATACTGATTTAATTGATTTGCTAATGATAGGTCTAGATCATTGGATAGGTACTGTTTAATTATGTGTAAATTTTCACTGCGAAGCGGTAGTTTAATTGGTTTAATGGTTTATTATTTTGTAAATAAAACATGTAGATAATTATTTATGTATAAATAAATTAAACTTAGAATTTACAGATTCTAAAAATCATGAAAACTTTACGTGTGTGAAGTTAGCCTCGAATTAGAGAAGTATGCCATCCACACCAAAATGATTTATACATTTTCGCACCAAAATAGTTTATACATTTTTTAATTAAAATGTACTGCAAATATGGTTTCTTAGGAAATACAGAACATGCTTATTTTATCATTATTATTAATAATGATATGATATGATGATGATATAGAAAAACTAATGGAAACAAGGGACAACTAGACATGACCAAACTTGCACAAAATAAAACCATATACAAAGAGAGACTGAAGGAACAACTGACCCAGAACTTGAACAGCGATAATGAAAATATAGATAAAATATACGATGCATTAGCGGAAACCATGGTTAGGGTAGGAAACGAAATCGCACAAAAAGATAAAAAGAAGGTAGATTGCATATCAGAAGAGACAAAGAAACTCGTGGAAAGAAGGCGGAAACTGAACGAAGAAGGGAGAAGGAAATCGATAGAATACACAGAAATCAATAAGACCATCAGGAAAATGATAAAAGAAAACAAAAGAAAAACCAAGAAATATAAATAGAAAGAGTCATAGAGGATAACAGGAATATGAAATACCTAAGACCAACACTAGGAAGATACGAAATAAATAAAATAAAAGACAAGAACGGCGTAGAAACTAATATTAAGGAGGATATCATAAATATCACACAACTGTTTTATACAGAACTATATCAAACAAAAAAGGAACCACCGCAAAACAACTACAAACTAAAATAAAGAATGTAAACTCAGAACTACAACCCGAAACAAGCAAATCGGAAATAAAGAGGGCTCTGAAAGAAATGAAAAAAAGCAAAGCACCTGGAAAAGACGGAGTCACGGCAGAAATGCTAAAATACGGTGGAAAAACGGTCATCAATACTCTCCATACCCTCCTAAATAAAATACTGAAAGAAAAGAAAATCCAAAACAACTGGAATGAATCCATAACAATCATCCTTCATAAGAAAGGTGATAGAAAAGACTTGAAAAACTATCGACCTATAACACTCCTTAATGAGATTTATAAGCTCTTCACAAAAATTCTCACCACCAGGCTAACAATAAAATTCGATGGTTACCAATCGAAAGAACAGGCCGGCTTCAGAAAAGGTTTCAGTACAAGTGACCACCTATTAACCATGAAAATGCTAATAGAACGAGCCAACGAATATCACATCCCACTATATATTGCATTTATCGACTTCGAAAAGGCTTTTGATAGTGTTAAACATTGGGCAGTAAAGAGCTCATTAATTAATAGCAGAATAAACTACAGATACACAGACCTAATACCCAACATATATAGCGAAGCAACAACAACTATTAAAGTCCATGAGGGAACAAAACCAATACCCATAGGAAGAGGTGTCAGACAGGGCGACACAATATCACCCAAACTTTTCAACCAGGCTCTGGAAGATGTTTTTAAAAAACTAGACTGGGAGGAAAAAGGTATAAAAATATGCGGACAACACTTGAGGAACTTAAGATACGCGGATGATATCGCCCTTATAACTGATAAGAAAGAAGAGCTGACAGAAATGCTGGAAGAACTTGACACAGCAGCTAAAAACATAGGTCTCAATATGAACTACGCTAAAACTAAAACAATAACCAACACAGACGATGATATCATAATCAGAATAGGACAGGAAAAAAGAGAACAAGTCGACGAATATATATTATATCTAGGACAGATTATTAAACTCAGCAAAGAAAACCAAACAGCAGAAATCAAGACACGAGTTAGATTAGCTTGGGCAGCATTCGGTAAATTAAACTACATCTTGAAAAATAGAAAATATCCAGAATACCTCAAATCCAAAGTTTATAATCAATGTATACTTCCTGTTCTCACCTATGGATCCCAAACATGGACACTTACAAAGTCAAACATGGATAAAATAACAAAGGCACAAAGATCAATGGAAAGACAAATGTAAGATGTGAAACTGATAGATAAAAAGAGGAACGAGTGGATAAGAAATAAAATGAGAGTAAGAGACGTTAGAAAGGAGGTAGCAAAATTAAAATGGAAATTCGCAGGTCACAATATCAGACAAAAAGACGACCGATGGAATAAATGTATCTTAAGCTGGAGACCTTGGGAGAATAAAAGAAGTAGAGGAAGACCCCAGATGAGATATGCTGATGCCCTGAAGAAGCACGCTGGAACCAGGTGGATGAACATGGCAACAGACAGAGAAGAATGGAGAAGACTGGGGGAGGCCTATGTCCAAAGATGGACTGAAGAAGGCTGAATAGATAGATAGATAGATTAATAATGATATACCTAATTAATACAAAGAAAATGTGTAAAATTTAAATTTAACACATATAAAATTTCTCTTCTCGTGAAGGGTTCTAAATTTTTTTCTCCAGATTTTGGACGAAGTACCTTTGGTTTTTAAATCGGTAGGGGATCAGGAATTGAAAAACTCAGAAAACTCAATAAAAATAGGATTTTTATTTATTTTCTCGATATTTTGGATAGGGTACCACTATCATCTTTTGGCAGGGACTTAGGGAAGTGTTCTAGAATACTCCCTCAAATTGGTTTTCAAATCGGTAGGGAATGAGGGGTTAAAAATATCCGAAAACTCAATAAAAATAGGGTTTTTATCTTTTTTCTCGAGATTTTGGATGGGGTACCACTACCATCTTCTGCTAGCGACTTATGGAAGTGTTCTAGAATACTCCCTCCAATTGGTTTTTGAATCGGTAGGGGATGAGGGGTCGACAAAATCAGAAAACTAAATAAAAATAGGGTTTTTATTTATTTTCTCGAGATTTTGGATGGGGTACCTCTACCATCTTTTGGCAGCGACTTACGGAAGTGTTCTAGATTACTCCTTCAAATTGGTTTTTAGATCGGTAGGGGATGAGGGGTTGAAAAAATCAGAAAACTCAATAAAAATAGGGTTTTAATTTTTTTTCGCGAGATTTTGGATGGGGTACCACTACCATCTTCTAGCAACGACTTACGGAAGTGTTCTATAATACTCCCTCAAATTGGTTTACAAATCGGTAGGGGATGAGGGGTTGAAAATATCCGAAAACTCAATAAAAATAGGGTTTCTATTTTTTTCTCTCGAGATTTTGGATGGGGTACCACTACCATCTTCTGGCAGCGACTTTCGGAAGTGTTTTAGAATACTCCCTGTAATTGGTTTTTAAATGGGTAGGGGATGAGGGGTTGGAAAAATCAAAAAACTTAATAAAAATAGGGTTTTCATTTTTTTTCTCGAGATTTTGGATGGGGTACCACTACTATCTTTTGGAAGGAGCTTTCAAGGAAGTGTTCTGGAATGTCCCCTGAAATTGGTTTTTAAATCGGTAGGGGATGAGGGATTGAAAAAATCAGAAAACTCAATAAAAATAGGGTTTTTATTTATTTTCTCGAGATTTTGGATGGAGTACCACTACCATCTTTTGGAAGGAGCACTACCATCTTTTGGCAGCGACTTACGAAAGTGTTCTAAATTACTCCCTCAAATTGGTTTTTAGATCGGTAGGGGATAAGAGGTTGAAAACATCAGAAAACTCAATAAAAATAGGGTTTTTATTTTTTTTTCTCGAGATTGTGGATGGGGTACCACTACCATCTTTTGGAAGGAGCTTAAGGAAGTGTTCTGGAATGCCCCCTGGAATTGGTTTTCAGATCAGTAGGGAATGAGGGGTTGAAAAAATCAGAAAGCTCAATAAAAAAAGGGTTTTTATTTTTTTTCTCGAGATTTTGGATAAGGTACCACTACTATCTTTTGGCAGCGACTTACGGAAGTGTTCTAGAGTACTCCCTCAAACTGGTTTTCAAATCGGTAGGGGATGAGGGGTTGAAAAAATCAGAAAACTCAATAAAAATAGGGTTTTTATTTTTTTCTCGAGATTTTGGATAAGGTACCACTACTATCTTTTGGCAGCGACTTACGGAAGTGTTCTAGAGTACTCCCTCAAACTGGTTTTTAAATCGGTAGGGGATGAGGGGTTGCAAATATCCGAAAACTCAATAAAATCAATTTTTTTTCTCGAGATTTTGGATGGGGTATGGTTTTCGGGGTGTCACTTTGAGCTGGCTGCAGTCATATTTAACTAGTAGAAAACAATTTGTGAGGGGTCTAAACGATTTGTCAACAGGTCAGAGTATTGAGCATGGGGTTCCTCAAGGCTCAGTGCTTGGCCCACTTTTGTTTCTCATATATATTAACGACCTAGTTCACATTAACATTACTGGAACATTTACATTATTTGCTGATGATACATCAATATTGTGGCTAGGAACAGATGCTGACATATTAACGGATATTATTAATAATGACATTAGGGCGATAATGGACTGGTGCAACAGCAACAAATTGATATTCAATATTGCAAAGACTAATATTTTGACTTTTAAGGGGTCTGTAACGCACGTTATTCTGAACAATGTCCCATTAAGTAAAAGAGAGAGTTATAAGTTTCTGGGAGTGTTCATTGATACAAAGTTAAAATTTGAGGATCATATACAGGTCATGCGAAAAAAATTGGCATCAGCATAAGGATAGCAAGAATGGATTTAGGCCAGGATGTTACAAGGGGAATATATTTCGCCCTTGTGGAATCGCATTTGAGGTACGGAATTCAATTTTGGGGTTTTGCAAACAATCAACTTATACAGTCCGTCTTTGTGCTTCAAAAGCGGACTGTACG